CTCTGAGGTGTCTGCTCCTGAGAGGAGAGCTGTGGAGTCTGAGCTCACTTCCTCTTCCTCCCAGCGTTCTGTTCTGTTTACTCCTCCCACCTGTCTTCTAACCAATGAGGGCCACGCAGTTTCTTTTTATTTAACCAATGACCTTCCTCCATCAATTTCTTAAATTAGAATCTTAACACCAGTGACTCAATGTAGCTCAGTGGTAGAGTACCTCACCTAGCACATGTAAGGGCATGAGGTCAGCATTTGGTTTGCAACACAGGAAAACAAAACCCAAAAATCTTAATACCAGAAACAATTTAATTGAATTTTGGAAGAGAAAAAAGACAATAAAAACCCCCAATGAGCTGGCTGTGGTGACATATACATGTCATTCTGGCACTTGAGAGATAGAGGTGGGAGGGTCAGGAGTCCAAGGCCAGTCTGAGCTGCATGAGACTGTCTCAATTATTAAGTAAATAAATAATAAAATAGAGTGGAGTACCTTGTTAAGATCAAAATTAAAATACTAAGATGCTGAAGTGTCAGAATTAGGGCTGAAGAAAAATCTGTTGCTCAGGTAGAAAATCTCCAAAGAGACTGAGCGTGGTGGCACATGCCTAGAATCCCACACTCAGGAGGTGGAGACAGGAGTACCAGATCCCCTCCATCCTTGGCTGCATAGCAAGTTCTAGATCAGACTGGGCTACATGTACATAAATATGCCATCTCTAAAAAAACAAACCAAAATGTCCCCCAAAGACTATGAGTGTAATGAGTTTGTTCTCTAATGACTGAAAATGTTAGCTGAAAATGTTGACTAAAAAGCCTAACTGCTTGGGGGGAAAGGCTACAGAATGGTCTTGGAATGTAGCTCAGTGGTAGAGAATTTGTATAGCATGTGGAAAGCACTAGGGTTGATCCAGAAATCACAATAAAAAAATAGAACTGCCAGGGAAAATATCTTTTAAGTCAGTAAATCACATAAAATTTAACAATAAATACATTGACTAATGAACTTTTTAAAAAATTCAAGGTAGATACAACAAACAGAAAAAACTGGAGGCAACAAGATTTAGATGTGAACTGGAAAGAGAGGAATAAGATTCAAGATGAAATAGATAGTCAGATAATGAAATCTTCAAATCAATTGATAAATACTACATGGTGAGTTTTTTGTGTTTTGTTTTGTTTGGGTTTTTTGTTTTTTGGTTTTTTTTTTTTTTGGACAGGGTTTCTCTGTGTAGCCCTGAACGAACAGAGATCTGCCTGCTTCTGCGTCCTCAGTGCTGTGATTACCCGCTGTGGCCACCACCACTCAGCTCTACACAGCATCCATAAAGGGAGCTTAGGCAGTGCTGTGCACCTGAGCTTAGGAATCTGAGAGCAGCCTTGGCAACACAGCAAGACTTCCATTTCTTTTCTTTTTCTCTTCTTTCTTTTTCTTTCTCTCTTTTTATTTTATTTTATCTTTTTCCGAGACAGCATTTCTCTGTAGCTTTGTAGCCTGTCCTCTTGTAGACAAGACTGGCATCAAACTCACAGAGATCCACCTTCCTCTGCCTCTTGAATGCTAGGATTAAAGGCGTGCACCACCCGGCAAGACCTCCAATTCTTCAAAGAAAAAAGATCATGAATTAATATGTAAAATATGTGCTACAAAGGAAGACATTTATCAGAAATTGTGGTACTTTATTTTATCAATGAAAACAAATTTCAAGAAGAGATGGTTCAGATGTTAATGGCTAGGCTAGCAACCCAAAATAAAAGTTTGGTTCCTAGCACCCACGGCTGTCTCCACCCCATCCCACTCCCCCGAAAGAAAGAAAACTAGACTAGGAAAACAGATCAGTGTATCTAGAGAAAATGAAAATGGAGCATGATGTTTGAGAAAGATGAGTGTGAGGGAAATTCTGGGCTTTCCAGATAGCATAAGAGTTAGCTGAAAAGGAACTTCAGCATGTTGGTTAAACAGCATCAAGTTGCAAACATTGAAATGCAGAAAATGGGAAATGCATTGAAAATGGAAAACAATGAAAATTCTGACCCAAAACTTCAAATAGGTAGTTTGTGGATTTAGGTGACCTAATTTTTTTAGACAGAGATGAATTGCTGAACTCAAACCAGATATTGAAGAAAATGGCAGAGGAAGATGAAACAGTGATCTAAAATTTAAGAAGCCAAACTGAAAAAGTATAACTAGAAGTTGGAAAGATATCAAAAGAGAACCAGAGTAGCTGGATGGAAAGCATGGGCTGAATGAATGTATCAGAGAGGAAGCATGTAGCCGAGCTGAAGACAAACTGCAGTAAGTTGGGAAAATCTTTTCATGAGTACGAACTGAAGAGTTTGCAGGAGAAAGTGGATGCCTCAGAGGCCATAGAGAAGAATTAGAGGGGCTGGAGAGGTGGCTCAGCGGTTAAGAGTACTTGCTGCTTCTCAGAGGACCCACATAAGGAAACTCAAACCACCATAACTCCTGCTTCCAGATCTGACACCCTCTTCTGGCCTCCCAGAACACCTGTATCCCTGTGCACATACACACATACATATACACAAAAAAACAAATCTTAAAAGAATTGGAGCCAGGTGTGGTGGCCTGGAGTCAGGGGTAGGCAGATCTCTGTGAGTTCAAGGTCAACCTAGTTTACTTAGTTCCAAGACTGTGAGGTCTATATAGTAAGACCCTGTTTTGAAAAAAAAAAATTCATTTAAGACTATATAAAGCTAGCCTGTGACACCTCCTAGACCTTCTTTCCCTATGAGAACTCTCAGTGGAAAACAGAAAGAGATATGTCTTTGAAAGACATCCAAAGGAAAAGAGTAGGTGAACATGCTAAAAAATCAAAATACTAGGCAAGTTGATAATGCATTCCTGTAATCCCAGTATTTGAGAGGCTAAGGAATGAGGATGGAGAACTGGAAGCCAGCCTATGATACTTAGTTAGACACTGTTGCAGAAATAATGCCAGCCTATGATACATAGTTAGACACTGTTGCAGAAATAATGCCAGATACTTTGGAGAAGGGGGCTTTCTCAGTTCCTTCTGCATGTTCTTTAAAAGGAAAACTCAGGCACAAATGGCAAGAATTTCTTTGGTCATGGGGGCTGGTACTGACATTAAAGCTTTTCTATTTCTAGATCCAATATATCAGAACAGAGGCAAAAACCTAATGAGAATCCTTTCACAATTCCTTCACCCATTGAAGAAACTTGCTTTTACAAATGGCTTGGCCAGTAGAACAGCTATGTAAAACATAAAGTTGTATTGTCAAGTGATGAGATGTATGAAAGAATATGTGTATTGGTGTTTTGAGATGTTCATGTGTGGCAGGCTGACCTCAAAGTCAATAGATAGGCATAACTGAACTTCCTGCCTTTACCCTCCTGAGTGCTAGGATTATAAGAGTACACCACCATGTCTGGCTTATGTAGTTCTGGGAATTGAACCGAGAGTTTTACACACTGAAATACACTCCAGGCCAAGAATGTACAAATATAGCACAATTGCTATATAGGCACATGTTTATATAAACTAACCATATAAGACATTGAAGGGGTGAAGGTTATGATTAAGTCTTGACATTTTAAACACCATAACTAGTAAAAAGAAAAATGAAGACTTTACATAGTTCCTGAGAAACACAACAAATATGAAGGAAAATTAATGTTTGTAAAAGCAACAACAGAAAAAAATATGCAAAGTTTCAAAAAAGACTTAGGCTATATAGAGAATTTTAAATTCTGATTCAATACATGCTATTCTAAGATAAATCCTGTTGATTTTTAGTCATGAGGCATGGAAATTGCATCAAGAGGAGATCTTCTTGACAAAAGATTACAAGAGTCAGAGACAAACACAATTCTGGAGAAATCAGATGTCCTGAGTAATGATGTTTTGAGGAGTGGCAGGTAAAACAGGTGACACGATAGTACAGCTTTAACAGGTGACACGGAGGTGTTTTCACTCAACGTCACATGTTACAAGACATCTAAGTATGTTTCAGGAAGGGTTCTGGCTGCATATTTTGTGTTTTGTCAAGGTCTTAGAAGTTTACTAATAATAAGTTTCGGAGCATTGGAAGAAAGAGAGTGGCTCCTGGTAGGTCAGCCATGCTTCTATGATCACCCAAGAACATTTGAGTCAGCCATGCTTCTATGGTCACCCAAGAACATCTGATGCAGTGGGCTTTGAAAGAGAGAGAGAGAGAACAAGCAGTTGGGTGGATAGGAAGGTGGGGGTGGATCTATGAAGAGGGGATAAATAGGAGTAAAATACATTGTATAAAATTATCAATTTATGCCTGGTGGTGGCAGTGTACACTTTTAATCCCAGGACTTGGTAGGCAGAGGAAGCCTGGTCTACAGAGCAAGTTCCAGGACACAGAGAAACACTCAAAAAAACAAAACAAGCAAACAAATAAAATTCTCAGTTAATAAAAGTAGTATTTAAAAACCCAAGGAAAAACAGCATAAGCTGTTTAAAATTCTGTTTGATTTGAGACCTGTTTTCTCTATAGCACTGGCTGTTCTGAAACTCACTCTGTAGCCTAGACTGGTCTCAAACTCAAGGACCTGCCTGTCTCTGCCTCCCTAATTCTTGGAATAAAGGTATGTGCCACTATACCCAGTTTAGAATATTTTAAAGTATTTTTTTACATTACATTTATATTGTGGGGGTGGGGGGTACAAATGCACCACAGCACATGTGTAAAGGTCCAAGGATAACTCAGAGACACGTCTCCTTTTGTCATGGTTGTGGCAGTTTAGCTCAGGTTCCAAGGCTCAATGGCAAGTGACTTTACACACTGAGCCCTCTCACTGCCCCAGAATATTTATTGACCTTCCTTTGAGGCTATAAAAATTAAGTCATGAGGCATGGAATGACCCTTTCTTCAATGTGTGGGAGAAATTGCATCAAGAGGAAATCTTGACAAAAGACTAGAAGAGTAGAGAAAAGATTTCTTGAATGGCTGACTTTCATGGGAGGGACTAACTAACCATGTGATTGTAATTTTAGGTGCCTGTGGCATTTGATGATGTCTCCATCTACTTTTCCACTCCAGAGTGGGAAAAATTAGAAGAATGGCAGAAAGAGCTTTACAAGAATATCATGAAAGGCAACTGCGAGTCCCTCATCTCCATGGGTGAGGCTGAGTGTGCACCTTTTGAATGAGGCGCCAGCCATCCTAAGAGGGCTTAGACAGTTCCTTTTTCTCTAGTGTCCTCATCTCAATGTCCACCCATCCTCATATATTTCAGAATGTGGTTTTAAGTCAAAGAAGGATAGAACTAACTTACTATGTGCATTTTCTTATATGTTATATTTTCTTTTACCTCCTTTCTTTTTTTAAAAAATATTTATTTATTTTTTTATGTATACAATAGTCTAGCTGTATGTATGTCTGCAGGCCAGAAGAGGGCACCAGACCCCATTACAGATGGTCGTGAGCCACCATGTGGTTGCTGGGAATTGAACTCAGAACCTTTGGAAGGGCAGGCAATGCTCTTAACCACTGAGCCATCTCTCCAGCCCCTTTTACCTCCTTTCTTGAGTAACTTGTAAATAATTGGAGGTTGATAGATGAGGAGAAGTGATAAAGGATCTAAAGGAAATTAATTTCCTGTGAACCCCCAACATTCAGCTGCCGTGGTGGTTATCATACTGATTTATCTCTCTGTCATGCCGCCTTTCCATTTTTCCTTTTCTAGATTATGCCATGAATCAACCTGATGTCTTATCTCAGATTCAACCAGAAGAACACAGTGCAGATGACCAACCAAGGCCAGAGGCAAGTGAGATTCCAGCAGATGCCAGTGAAGGTAAGAGAAAAGATTATATACTCTTAAGCTCCTTTTCCTGGGTAGAGAGGGGGGTTTTAGAGGTGTCCAAAGCCATTCAGTGCTAAAACATTTTACACTTTGAATGGACATTTAAATACTGGAAGGAGCTCAGTGATGACCTGTCCTGCACCTGTCAGTATGTCATGCATGCCGTATTGTTGGCAGTTGAGGCTTAGTAGGGTGCTCTTGTAATTTAGGGGAAGTGTTGTGTATAAAGAACAGTTTTCCAGATCTCTATACTGGCAAGCAGTTCCTTCTCAAGATGAGCAGTCTTGGCCTGTGCTGACTTTCTCTTCTGACACAGGGAATGAGCCCTGGCTCCTTTCAGTGGAGAAGACTACTAACCATTTGTTTTAGTTTCCTCTCTGTTACTAAGATAAGTGTCCTGACAAAACCCAGTTTAGGGGAGAAAGCATTTATTTTAGCATACAATTTCAGGCGACAAGTCCATCATGGTGAAGAAACTGGAGTGTGGAGCTTAAAGTAACCAGTCACATCATATCCATAGTAAAGAGCAGAAAGAAATGAATGCTGCACGCTTGTTTTCTTGTGCTCAGCTTGATTTATTCATTTTACAGAGTTCAATATAACCACAGGCTAACCCAATATAGATGGTCCCTTATTAAGACTCTTTTCCTAGGTTGTTTTAAACTGTCAATTAAAGCTAATCATTACACCCAGTAATTTTAAATATGAATCCAAAATATGAAAATTAAATCATAAGCTGGGCAGTGGTGGCGCACACCTTTAATCGCAACACTCAGAGATGCAGAGGCAGCCAGATCTCTCTGAGTTCGAGGCTAGTCTGATCTACAGAGTAAGTTCCAGGACAGCCAGTGATACACAGAGAAACTGTCTTGAAAACCCATAAATAAATAAAAATAAATAAATAAAATGGAATCATGATGATTTTTCTTAATGGTATGTTCTTTGTAGCCTTGTCTGCTGAAAAGATATAAACAATTGATAACTGATTAGCAATAAGCTGCCTTCCAAAGGGCTGATAGACATGCACAATTATATTGATCCTTATATTGCTTATTGAACAACACAGGCCACTGTTTTCAGAACCTTGGGAGAGATGTAAAGTTCTTTGGGACCTAAGAATTATTTTTGAAAGAACTCTTTCCCCCCAGAAAGGGCTCTCTCTCTCTCTCCCTCCCTCCATCCCCCCCCCTCCCCCGTCTCTCTGTGTCTTTTTCCCTCTCTCCCTCTTCCACTTTCCCTCACACAATACTCTTTCACAACTGTTGTGCTTGTTATTTCCCCCAGGCCTAGGATGCCCTTGTTTTTTTTTTGGCTGAAATAGGCTAATTAGAAAGTTGTTAATATCCAGAGAATAAATGCAAGCTCTCTATCATTAGTAGAGAATAAACCACTACAGGTTTTGCTTTAAGCATACACATGTGTATGTGCACGCGCAAACACACAAACACACTAAATAAAAGTGTAATTTAAAAAATATATAAAAGTGTAGAGGAGTGGTGGCTGTGAAGAGAAGGTTCCAAGTGAACAAAATTCTGTTCATCAGAAATATGACTTTATAGCCACATTTCACAGGCATGATGGCACAAGCTTATATTCTCAGCAGTACAGGTAGAGTGGGGACAGGAAGTTTAGGAATTTGATGTCTTCCTTAGTCACATAACAAGCTTAAAACCAATCTGAGCTACATTTTATGCCTTTCAAAGAAAAAAAGTAGCCAGGCGGTGGTGGCGCACGCCTTTAATCCCAGCACTTGGGAGGCAGAAGCAGGTGGATCTCTGTGAGTTCGAGACCAGCCTAGTCTACAAGAGCTAGTTCCAGGACAGGCTCCAAAACTACAGAGAAACCCTGTCTCGAAAAACCAAAAAAAAAAAAAAAAAAAGAAAGAAAAAAGAAAAGAAAAGAAAAAAAGTAGCAGATGTGGTGGTGCACAACTTTAATCCCAACACTTCAGAAACAGAGCAGGTAGATCTCTGTGAATTCAGGGCCAGCCAGAGCTACATAGCAAAAAGTACAGAATTGACAATGTCAAGCCAGACTGTGGTGGCACACACCTTTAATCCCAGCACTTGATTGGCAGAGGCAGATGGATCTCTGTGAATTCAAGGCCAGCCTGGTCTACAGAGCAAGTTTTAGGATAGCCAGGGCTACACAGAAAAACCCTGTCTCAAAAAAAAAAAAAGAAAAAAGAAATTAATAATGTCAATGAACATAATTATGTTACCTTTTAAAGAGATTTATTTATTATTTTATGTGTATTAATGCTTTGCCTGCATGTATATGTGTACTGCATGCCCAACAAGATCATAAGAAGCCACTGGATCCCCTGGAATTACAATTACAAATGATTGTGTGCTAGCAATCAAACCCAGGTTCTCTGTAAGTACAAGTGCCTAAACTACTGAGCCAACTCTCCGGCACAATTTCACCTTCTGATTCAAGTCCCTGAAAACCATTTTCTTTTTCTCTACAAATAGAGCCTGGACTTTCAACCTCAGATATTCTGTCTTGGATTAAACAAGAAGAAGAGCCTCAGGTTGGAGTCCCCCAGGAGTCCAAAGAGAGCAACCTGTACAAAGGCTCCTATGCCGGTGAGTAACCGAGGGAACAGATGTTCAGATTCTGCTCACACTAGCAGTGACTAAAGAATGTAGCTGAAAGGGTGCTAGAAAGACAAGGAACAGTCAGGAAGAAAAGGAAGGTAATGGTCAGCCAAGTTAGAGATGAAACCAAAAGGCCACCAAGATAAATTTTAAGTAGGAAAGCACAGTTTTAAAAAACGTATTTATTCATGTGTGAGGAGGCACATGCAGAAATTCAAGGACAACTTGTGAGAGTTGGTTCCCTTCTTCTAATATGTGGGTCCCAGAAATTGAATGCAGGCTGTCAGGTTTGATGGTGAATACATTTACCCACTGAGTCATTTTATCAGCCCAGAAAACATACTCTTAAATGCAGATTAGCATTGTTGGGGCTGTGTATGTCAGTGATAAAAACAAAGCCCTAGTTTCAGTCTTTAGCACTGTATTTTAAAAAGAAAAACAGGACTGTTAGAGGAAGAACAATAAATGTATACAAATGAATAAAAATATGGGAATTGGAAAAATAGAGCATTTGAAGATCTCTTAGAAAGGATGGACAGAATGACCAAAGACATAAAGGTGGGAATGTGTTCTATTGCAGGGAAGATAGAATCAAGGAGGGGTTTCTCTCACAGAACGTACACTAGAAGTAAAGAGGAGATTTTAGGCCCTATCACACTAGGCAATGGAGAAAGTTACTGAGTAAAAGTGAAACATAAAATAATGTGGGGAAGACTGATGCCAAGGTTATTCCTTTTCAAAATGGAGCACCAACATACAGTCTTATATGTGTAATGTAACAGGGGCCTTGTTAGTAATGAGAGCCCTTCCCTGAGTTTACCTGAGCAGTGAGCTCTTAGAGCAGCCTGCCTGAACTGTTGGAATGTGAGAGACAGTGGTGAGATAACTCTGATCCCTTCTTTCAGATGAAGAACTTGTCATCAAAGCTGAAGACCTGGCTAGAGCCTCCTTGTGTCCTGAAGTTCCCGTAGCCTTCTCTGCCCCGCCACCACCAGCAGCCAAGGATGCTTTTGCAGATGTAGCTTTCAAAAGCCAGCAGTGTACTCCCATGACACCTTTTGGACGCACAGCCACTGACCTGCCTGAGGCCTCAGAGGGACAAGTGACCTTTACTCAGTTAGGAAGCTACCCACTCCCACCTCCAGTTGGAGAGCAGGTGTTCTCATGCCACCATTGTGGCAAGAGTCTCAACCAAGACATGTTAATGACACATCAATGTAGCCACACTGCTGAGCACCCCTTAACCCGTGCCCAGTGTCCCAAGCACTTTGCCCCACAGGTGGACCTCGGTAGCACCTCTCAGGACCATGCCAGTGAAACACCACCCACCTGTCCTCACTGCGCCCGGACCTTCACTCACCCCTCACGACTCACGTACCATCTTCGGGTGCACAACAGCACTGAGCGCCCCTTCCTCTGTCCTGATTGTCCCAAGCGCTTCGCTGACCAGGCTCGACTCACCAGCCATCGGCGCACTCATGCAAGTGAGAGGCCTTTCCGTTGCCCACAGTGTGGTCGTAGCTTTAGCCTGAAAATCAGTCTCCTGCTGCACCAGAGGGGACATGCGCAGGAGCGCCCCTTCTCTTGTCCTCAGTGTGGCATTGACTTCAATGGCCATTCTGCACTGATTCGTCACCAGATGATCCACACAGGCGAACGGCCCTACCCGTGTACAGACTGCAGCAAGAGCTTCATGCGTAAGGAACACTTGCTAAACCACCGGAGGCTGCACACAGGTGAGCGGCCTTTCCAGTGTCCGCACTGTGGCAAGAGCTTCATCCGCAAACACCACCTCATAAAGCACCAGCGCATCCACACGGGCGAGCGGCCCTACCCCTGCGCCCTGTGTGGAAGGAGCTTCCGCTACAAGCAGACACTCAAGGACCACCTGCGGACAGGTCACAGTGGAGGCTGTGCAGGTGATAGGGACCCTTCTGCACAGCCAGCAGACCCACCTGGTCCACTCTTAACTGCCCTGGAAACCTCTGGTCTAGGTGTTAGCACTGAAGGTCTAGAATCTAGTCAGTGGTATGGGGAAGGGAATGGAGGCGTGGTTTTGTAGATCTGTGGCCCATTGGTTATTTATGTTCACTGCAGAGCAGAAGGTCCAGGAGAAAGCCTACAAGCTCCACAACCCATAGTAATTATTGTCTGTTACATAAAGGAATTTGGGGTCTACACTCAACTAGAGACATGCTTGTGCAAGTCCACAACAGTACAAGAATACCATATTTTGAAAACTGGAAGAGAATCCAGCATCCGTGTCTTTTCATATACCACAAATGCAGAGTTTGGGCAGCAAGATTTGTCTTCTGATCATTCTGTCAGGATAGCAGAGAGTAGACTGCCTCTAGATCGAGACGAGCTGGAAAGAGCCCCCAAACCTCAAAGTCATCTTTCTCTAATTCCTCAGTGATGAGGTGACTGTTGGGGGAATGTGCTTTAGCTGCCTGTTAGGTGCCGTGTCTCAAACCAGCTAAGCTCTCTTCATACCTTTCCCTGAAACCTGGTGACTGGGGCTGCCTTCCTAGGCCTAGATTCTGTCGGCTAATACATTTTGTTTAATGTTGGCGAAAAAGAAATCTGACTTTGATAGCTTATTAAGGGGACAGTTCCTAGCTTTCACTAGCTTGATTTGAAACATTCAGATTCTTGTAGCAGCTTTTAAAGAGGACAGAGAACTTTGCCACAGCCCTGGTTAGAAATTGAGGAGAGTTCTCTCTTCAGGTTTAAGAGCTAAAGATTCCAGAGATCTCAGGCACAACAGTGATAGCATAGCCTAAAAATCTGCCTGAATCATGAATTTAGAGTCATTTATATCTATGTATCCCTTCTCTTTTCCAAGCAGGCGATCATGTTTTTCCATTTCTGTTGTTTGATTTTCTTTCTCTCTCTCTCTTGAGACAGGGTCTTACTATATATCCTGGCCCGGAATTTGCTTCATAGACCAGTCTAGCCTTGAACTCATAGAGCTCTGCCTGCCTCTGCCTCTTGTTCTGGGTGCACCACCATGCCCAACTTGATTTTCTTTACAATGCTCACAGCACTTCAGAAAGTGCTTTTGTTCCTTCAGTAGTGTGGCAACAGTGGTGTAGTGTGATGGCTTTCCTGCCTGTCCTGCCTCACTGGTCATGAACAGAGCGAGGCCTCTCTTCAGTCCTGAGAGTGAGACACACATCTGTCTGACCTGTCATGCTGTTTTTTAGACAGGGCTTCACTGTGTAGCCAGGCTGGAACTCGGAGATCTGCCTGTCTCCACATCTAGAGTGCTAAGATTAAAAGCATGTACTATCATGCTTAGCCATCTGTTGTACTTTGAGGTGTCATGGCTACCATGCTTTCTTTTCTTGGCCCCTCTTAGTCATCTGAAAGCATCTGAACCTAGTTCTGTTCCTAAATGTTCATGCAACCAGGTGTGTGTCCTCTTCCATTTTCAGCTCTTACATTTTTTTTTATTTATGTATACAATAGTCCGCCTCCCTGTATGCCAGCAGAGGGCGCCAGATCTCATTAAAGATGGTTTTGAGCCACCATGTGGTTGCTGGGAATTGAACTCAGGACCTCGGGAAGAATAGTCAGTGCTCTTAACCATCTCTCCAGCCCCAGCTCTCACATTTTTATCACCAAAAAGAAGCTGTTAAAAGGTGAGTGTAAGCCACACAGTGGTGGCGCTCACCTTTAATCCCAGCATCCAGGATGTCTGTGAGTTTGAGGCCAGCCTGGTCTACAAGAACTAGTTCCAGGACAGGCTCCAAAGCCGCAGAGAAACCCTGTGTCAAACAAACAAACAAACAAAAAACAAAACAAAACAAAAGGTGAATGTACTGGTAAAAATAAAAAGCCACAGGTCCCCAAGTGGCGGCAGCAGGCAGCAGGCACGAGACCACAGCAGCCCACAGTAACGGGCCACAAAGGCAGCCAGATCCCAGGTGAGGAGCCACATGGTGGGTGAGAGACTGAGATGGATAGGCACACCATGCAGAGTGAGGTTGGATATTTATTTAGTGGGTTATGGAAGGGAAGGGAAAGAGGAGAAGGGGAAAGAGCTGAGAGAGAAAGAGGAAAGAAACAGATGGGAGAATGGAGCTGCCTCTTTGGGAGAGAGATGGGAGGAAGGGCTCAGACTGGAAACGGAAGGAAGATTGGCCTGCCTCAAAAGTGGACAGGACAGACCATTACAGTGAACCTCTAGAAACTTTTACAAAGAAAGAAGAATCTTGTGATAAAGTTCTCCTCTGCCAAAATTCTGTTCTTCATTTGGCTTCTGTCCAGACAAAGCCAAATAAGGCAAGAAAACCAAAGCAGAGAAACTCATGTAGAAACTTGGTGGAAATCAGCTTGTCTTGTTGTTTTGCTCTTAGTGGGTCCTAAAGTAGAAGATGGAGAATGTAGAAACCACATATTTGGTACAGGAAGCTGTTTATTCCCACACCCCTCATTCCCCCAGAGTCTTCTATGATGTCTAGAATGAGATCTAGAGCTGTTCAGACAGAATACTTTCTGGATAAGGAAGGGAATGCTTTCTCCTTGTTACTAGGCCCTGCAACCACAGTAGGGAATGGTGTTTACCTAGGTACTGTACTTCTGGCAAAGTTCTGCCTGAACATGCTGCTCTTCAGGATAATCACATAAATAAAACATTGTTTTGTGACAATAATACCAAGGGTCCCAGGAGACATAAGTGTGTGTGAAACCTGGTTTGCTGTCATAACTTTCAGCCTGTAGGCAGTGAAAATCTCCCAGGGATAGACAAGACAGATGATGGCAGTACTGTGGTCTATTGGGAAAAAGACCAGAATCTGGACCCTCCCACAGGAAAACTCGGAAATCCTGAAATCCCCTAATCAGGTTCCAGCTTCATTAATGACTCACTAGGGACCTGACTATGTGGTTTGCACCTGAAAAAGAAGGAATCAAGGCATTCTCAAGGTGAGGGAAGTGTTTGCTAGAGCTGAAGAGGAGATGCTTACTGAAACTGCTGTGGGGGCTAGACAACATCTAAAGTTCGTCTGAACTCAGCAGATTTACCGAGGACACAAAAGCCAATCGGAGGTCTGTGTACCAGAGTGCTGCCAGTGGCCCCCAGTGCCTGTTCTGTTAGGCGCTGTAGCCAGCAGGGATCTAAACTAGCCAAAAGAGAATAGTGTTCCAATACCAGCCAAACATTGGAAGCATGTGGAATCAATCCCAGTCCTTAATCTGGCTCAAAGTAGGATCTTCAGCTATTGTTTTTTTGTTTTTCGAGACAAAGCTTCTCTGTGTAACGGTCCTGACTGTCCTGGACTTCATTCTGCAGACCAGACTGGCCTAGAACTCACAGAGATCTGCCTGTCTCTGCCTCCCAAGTGCTGGGATTAAAGGTGTGCACCACTACCGGCAACTTCAGATACTGTATAGTCAATTCTTTCCATTCACCAGTCTCCTCTCTAGTAGAACTCATCTGTCAACGATTCAAATGTAGCTCATTGGAAAATGTAAAGTCCAACAACTTTTCAGCAAGTAGAATCTCTGTCTACCTGGTGTCTTGAGAGAAACTGTACACTTAACTCTACAACTAAAGAGATCTAGTGCTCATGTGACAGCTCGTGACTGTAGGGAAGAGGAAACCCCAAAAGTGTCCCCTGGATGATGGCGCAGCTCTTCCTCAGAGCTCATCCAGGAGTTGGCTCTAACAAGATCTCTTTACTTACTAGAGGTTTTTGGGTGTTTTTTTTTTTTTTTTTTTTTTTTTGTCAGCACTGGATGAGCCTCTGCTTCAGTCACAGATAAGAAATAAATGTAAGTTGGTTAATTGTTTAGAAATTTGGCATTTGATAATGAAAACACCGTAGTCATTATCTCCAGGGAGAGCCATGCTCTACATCATTTCTGTCACTAATAAACTCTACAAAATCTTCTCTTGAGATGGCATCTATAGCTATCTCAGCCGATCCCCATGGCTTATGAGATAACAAATACTATCTTAGTCTCAAAAAGTCTCACTGAAAAAAAAAAGTACCTAAGTTCCTTTCATTTCAATGGGTTGGAAATCCCAATTTTATGTCATATTTCTTGAGAGGGACAGGTCATCCCTTCCCTCTTCTTATGCCTTAGCTCCTTAGATAACAAAAACACTTTCTGCAGTTGCCTGAGTAGCAATGAGGCATTTTCAGATGAGAACCTGACATTAATAGATACATATACATATCTATTTAGATAGATACACACACACACACACACATTGGTTTTTTGAGACAGGGTTTCTCTATGTAGCCTTGGCTGTCCTGGAACTTGCTCTGTAGATCAAGCTGACCTTAAACTCAGAGATCCTCCTGCCTCTGCCTCCCAAATTCTTGGGATTAAAGTCATGCACCATTAGATGGATATTTTGGACTGCTCAGCTCACTCTGGTTCTCTGTAGCAAAGGGGCAGTCTCTTATCATATAGGGTGAATACAACAGGCTGTTATTTGGCAAGGTTCGGGTTTCTATAAAGAGGATAATTAGTTCAAAATTAGGCACTGGGGTGATAACTCAATAAAGTGCTTGCTATACAAGCATGAGTACCTGAGTCTAATCCCTAGAACTCGTGAAAAAGCTAGAATCAATGCTTGAATCCTAGCACTGGGGAGGTCTTGCCTGGCTTCTTGTCAGCCTAGCCTCATTGGTAAACCGCAGGTCACTGAGAGACCCTGTCTCGAAGAACAAAGTCAGTGGCTCCTGAACAATGACTCCCAAAGTCCTCTGGTCTCCACACAAGGTCAGAATGATTGTGGGTGGGGTTAAGGAGTGTGTAGGGACTTAATGCTCATCATCTTAGTACAGTATTAATGACTAGGAGCAGAGCTTCTCATGGCAGACCTAGATTCAAGCCTCAAGTAATATATTATCTTCTGAAGACTTTGTTTCTCTATAAGGTATTGTAATATGTTTTGTATCTCAGTAGTGTTAGAGCTTAAGAACTCACAACGTAACATTTTACAGAACCAACCTGAAAAAGGTGGTCACAAAGCCAGGCCGAACTAGAAGTGGCAAGTGTTAAGAACCAAGGTTTGGCCAGGTGTGATGGCTCACACTTGTTACACCAGCACTTGGGAATCTGGGGCAGGAAGATTGCTGAGAATTCAAGGTCAGTCTAGGCTACATAGGAAAACCCTGTTTTTGAAAAAGAGGGGAGGACAAGAAGGCCCCAGAGAGATAACTGTGTAAGAGCACTGGGTGCTTTTTCAGAGGACTTGTATTCGGTTCCCAGCACCCCCATGGTGGCTATAATTTTTAACTCCAGTTTCAAGGGATCTCATGCCCTCTTCTGGCTTCTGCACTCTGCAGACACAAAACATGCATGTGGTGTGTGTGTGTGTGTGTGTGTGTGTGTGTATGCACATGTAGGCCAAACACTAATACACATAAAAACAAACATTTAAAAAAAAAAAAGGCTGCTCTACAGAAGTACAAGACTCCTGGCTGGCTCAGCCTTTTGCTACCATCTTTTTTCATAAATTTAGTGTGAACTCTTACTGATTATTTTCTATACATACCACCACATAAGTTCCTAATGCCACAACCCCATATGGCTCTGATTCTCTCTCAATTTTTCTTCTTTTTCCTCATCCTTCTCTTTAAAACATTTCTTTAGATTTTATTTTATCTGTCAGTGTTTTGCCTACATGTATGTATGTACATTATGTGCACGCCTTGTTCCCGCAGAGGTCAGAAGAGAGTGCCACATTTCCTAAAATTGGAATTATGAATGATTGCAAGCCACTGTGTGGGTGCTGGGAATCGAACCTGGGTCCTCTACAAGTGCAACAAGTGCTCTAAACCACTGTTTTAAAACAAAGAATTTTAGGGTGGTGGTGGCGCAAACCTTTAATCCCAGCACTCTGGAAACGGGTAGGTGGGTCTCTGAGTTCAAGGCTAACCTGGTCAGCAGGGCTAGTTCCAGGACAGCCAAGGCTACACAAAAAATCCCTATCTGCCGGGCAGTGGTGGCGCATGCCTTAATCCCAGCACTTGGGAGGCAGAGGCAGGTGGATCTCTGTGAGTTCGAGACCAGCCTGATCTACAGGACTGGCTCCAGGACAGGCTCCAAAGCTACAGAGAAACCCTGTCTCGAAAAACCAAAAAAGAAAAAAAAATCCCTATCTTAAAAAAGAAATTTAAGTGTTCTTTTAAATATTTCTCAGTTTTTCTTTGTTTAGATTCTATAATTGGGAAATCTGGCCCAGTTCTTCCCATGCTCATCTTAACCCAGCAGTACAATTCCTCTGGCCCCTGCACCAGCTTCTGTGAACCTTGGAAATGTGCTCAGGAATGAAGAATATAGCAGTTCAGTGTTGCAGGGTGGGAGGGTTCTGTTTAATACCTATTGAGGTTTCTTCAACTACTTCTGTCTTACAAATACTATCATAATTCCAATGCATAGTGTCTTTGCTCAAAAATACCTGGAAGATGCTGTTTGTCTTGTGAAAGGAGTCATTTGTCACTTGAAGTCAAGGAAAGGAGAGGTGTTACCCTGCTCTGACCCTGCTCCTGTTTTGTGTGCTTGTTTATTGAAGACAAGTCTCTCAGTGGAACCCATTGCCTCAGCTTCCCTGGTGAAGGGATTACAGATGAGTGCCACCATGCCTGCTCTTCAGTCCCTGCTCTCTACACTACTTCCTTTTTCTTTTTACTTTTTTGAGACAGGGTTTCATGTATCCCAGGACATCTACAAACCTTGTATGTAGCCTAGATTTCTTTGAACCTCTGATCCTCCTTCCTCTTCTTGGTTTTATGGAGCTAGGGATCAAATCCAGAACTTTGTGCATGTTAGGCAAGCACTCTACCAACTGAGCTACATCCCCAGCCTCTTCTTCATGTTATAGAACTGACCACAGTCACAGACATAGGATGGATTTGTCAACTTGGTCAATTAAATGTACCCTCCATATCATGCCTAAGACCACACAAGGAAGGCAGAAAAATACAGTCTCATCAGAACAGCCTCAGAAACAGTGATTCTGAAGTTCTGAAGTTACATTCCAAATAAAGGGCTTGATTAAAAACCTCACTGAACTATGTGAGTTTGTGCTCATTAGTAAAACAGTATTTATTTATTTATTTATTTATTTATTTATAACAAAACCTTGAAATTGTTGTAGGGCTTGAGTTTAGGAGTTATGATTTAGGAGTTAAGAGCACTTGCTGCTCTTGCAGGGGACCAGAGTTTTGTTCCCAGCATCCATGTTGGGTCCTCATAACCACCTGTAACAATAGCGCCCATGCTGCAACTTTTGCAAGAAACTTGTTTGTTCCAAGACAAGGTTTCTCTGGGTAGTCCTGGCACTGGCTCTGCAGACTGGCTTTGAACTCAGAGATTCCACCTGCCTCTACCTCCAGGGTATTAGGATTAAAGGTGTGTGCCACCACTACCCAGCAAGAAAACTTTTTGTTTGTTTGGGGTTTTTTTGTTTTGTTTTTTCAAGACAGGGTTTCTCTGTGGCTTTGGAGCCTGTGCTGGAACTAGCTCTGTAGACCAGGCTGGTCTCGAACTCACAGAGATCCGCCTGCCTCTGCCTCCCGAGTGCTGGGATTAAAGGTGTGCGCCACCATCGCCCGGCTGCAAGAAAACTTTTTTAAAAGACATAGTCTCACGTAGCATGGTCTTGAACTTGACATATAACCAAGGATGGCCTTGAATTCCTGATCTTTCTGTCTTCACATTCCAAGTTTTGAGATTGCAGGCCTTTATTACCATATCGTATCTCTCATACAAAATATTCACAAATATAAATAAATATATGGAGAATGACAAGTCAGGAAGATAGCAGACACATTTCTGGAGAATTGATTTTGTTTAATCAAGCAGAATTCAAAATTCAGGATGTACATGAGTTAATATATGCCAATCAGGTTTTGGCTTCAAGTTTATAATTTTTTTTTTTTTTTGGTTTTTCAAGACAGGGTTTCTCTGTGGCTTTGGAGCCTGTCCTGGAACTAGCTCTGTAGACCAGGCTGGTCTCGAACTCACTGAGATCCGCCTGCCTCTGCCTCGGGATTAAAGGCGTGCGCCACCATCGCCCGGCTCAAGTTTATAATTTTAAATAATTAAAAATAGCATAAGAAATGCAATATCTACCAGCAAACCTCAGTGAATAAACAGTATAAACGTAGTTTAAAAACAATTAATTCATACTTATGTTATTAGCCAGTAGGATTCAGGATTTTCATTTTCTCATATGATCTTGTGAGGTAAGGACAAGGAGATGTACAAATGACTATTGCACTAGTTTGTTCTTGGATGAATATGAGAATGACCTGGGGGACTTAGGAGATACTTAAAAGCCAAGGCCCACTCTGGCACGATTTCATTGCTCTAACAGAGAATGGGTTTTGTTTTTTCTTTTTTTTTTTTTTTTTTTTTTTTTTTTTTTTTGGTTTTTCGAGACAGGGTTTCTCTGTGGTTTTGGAGCCTGTCCTGGAACTAGCTCTTATAGACCAGGCTGGTCTCGAACTCACAGAGATCCACCTGCCTCTTGGGTTTTGTTTTTTCAAGTTCCCTCAAGTGCTTCCAGAGTATTTGTGAGGATTAGATTATGAATGAGAAAGTTAGTTATTGAACTGGAAATGGCCTAAGTTGGCCTGCTTTCCTAGAGCAGAGAGTGAGGGTTAGAGAATAATAAAGGGTCTGTGCCTCCATAGTGGTAAATCATATTTTTGTCACAGAGGCAGGTCTATAGCCACGCACATGCCAGCAGGGAGGAAAGCTCAAGTCTCTTGGGCCACCCTTGTTTCCCAATCCCACTGGCCACCTTGGCAGTCCATAGCATTTTTTGGATTTTTTATTTGGTTGGTTTATTTATTTTTGAGACTGACTCAAGGCAGCTCGGGCTGGCCTTGAACTCTTAATCTTCCTGTCCCAGCTTTCAGAGTGCTGAGATGATAGATTTTTCAATATCACGTAGAAAGCCTGCTTGTTAAATTAGGGACGGGACCTAATTTAGTAGATAGAAACCTATTATCCTCTTTACTTAAGCTGAGAGTAAGCCTGGTTGTTTCCTTTTTTAAATAAAACTCTACCTGCCTCTGCCTCTAGAATGCTGAGATTAAAGGCATGTACTACCATATTGGCAAAGGGGTGGAGTCACTACCTTTGCTGAGTGCCTTCTAGATGCCAGACATTAGTTTATAATTTTTCAATATTAAGATAGACAAGAATACCCTCCATTTATATTAATATTGGAGGAAATGGTAGATAAATGTTCTGAAACTTTTGAGTCCCCTCTCTTGTCCTCTATCCAGAGCAGTATCTATAGAATTCTTGAAGAGAATTAATCAGTTAATCTCCATCTGGCAGATCAAGGGCCAGGCCTAAGTATCTCTTGTAAAAAGTGTACATTAACTATGATACTTTAACCCGTTGCCCATTTTGCTTTTCAGGGAGCTCACAGTTAACCAGTGATTGCTGGAGACTGCTCTAACAAACAACACTCCCAGAGCAGGCTGTCTTGCAGCCTGGGATATCTTGGCCTCCTCAGTCATTGGAGCATCAGTCATAGGGTCCATTACCAGTGTAGCTCCAGCAGCTCCTCCCTCATGCCCACCCTTCTTTTCCTTCCAGAAGTGCTTCTACCCCACACCCTTCAGCTTGTATTGATTGCAGGGTTTTATGCCCTATAGTTGGTAGGCTTGGTAGTTATAAAATAATGAAGAAATGTTGATCCGGCACATATGAACCTGTTTGAGTATTTTGTACATATAAAAATGTGAACTGAGGGGGCTGGAGAGATGGTTAAGAACCATCTCAGTGGTTAAGAACACTGACTGCTCTTCCAGAAGTCCTGAGTTCAATTCCCAGCAACCACATGGTGGCTCACAGCCATCTATAATGAGACCTGGTGCCCCCTTCTGGCTTGCGGGCACACATGAAAGGAATGCTGTACACATAATAAATAAATAAATATTTAAATAAAAATGTGAACTGAGCCAGGCGGTGGTGGCGCACGCCTTTAAACCCACCACTTGGGAGGCAGAGGCAGGCGGATCTCTGTGAGTTCGAGGCCAACCTGGACTACAAGAGCTAGTTCCAAGATAGCAGAGAAACCCTGTCTCGAAAAACCAAAAAAAAAAAAAAAAAAAAAAAAAAAACAAAAAAGACCTCTAGCCTAAGCAGAAACTTTGCCATAAGGCAAAGGTATAAATAGCTGTGTGAAAATCTACCTGCAAGGAAAAATCAAACGGAATTAGATGGTGGTGCCTTGCTGTATAAAAAGGGACATTGCTATAATTGGCTACACATTTAAGACAGGAAATCATATTGGT